CAAATGATATTGAAGTTAGTGTTCATCGTATTTGGTGTGAAATATTCGAACAAGATCAGATCTTAACTAATACAAATATATTTACAATTGGTGGTCATTCATTACTGATGATGCAATTATTTCGTCAATACAAGATCCAATTTCATCTAGAAATAAATTCTCTTTCTATTTCGACTCTTTTTCAACATCCAACAATTAGTCATCATGCACAACTCATTCAGCAATCTATCAATATCAGTTGCACTTCTTATGATTATTCTTGGTCTCCATTACATCTCACTCAAGGTAAACAAAACAATATGTACCAGATATTATTATCAACTACGTATTTATCTTGTTTTTCTCATTCTAGCTAAAGCATCATTTGCACAAGAACGAATCTATTTAGATGAACAAATTCGCTTTTCATCCAACAAAACAACCATGAATAATATGTATGTTATTCCATTACTTTATCGTGTATCATCTATGAATGATCATGTATCAATTACTCGATTGCATCATGCATTTCAAAGTGTTATCACAAAACATAATATTCTTCGATCAGTACTCTATCTTGATGCAAATGGTACTATTATACAACATTGTCTAGATACAAATATCATTCTCAACGATGATATGCAATTCAATGGATTGACAATTGTTAGTATTCATAATGATGATCATCGTCATATGAATGAAATTATCACAGAAATATTAAATCAAGTTGATTTATTTGATTTATCAAAAGGACATGTTATTCGTTGTCATATTCTCCGTCATTGTGACTATTCCAAAGATAATATTTTATGTAAGAATAATGATCTTTTGGGTGAAAATGATTACATATTGATTAGTATTCATCATGCAATGTTTGATGGAGCATCAACATCAATCTTTCTTCGTGATCTTTCTCTTACATATCAATCTGATGACTCATTATCTATGGATGATAACTCATTGCAATATATGGACTATTCTACTCATGAACATATCATGGACATGTCATTATCTCGTGAATTCTGGCATTGTCAACTTGAAAGATACAACATCGACTGCTCATTATCATTACCAGTTGATCGTCAACGTTCATCAACTAATCAACAACGATCAGGTGCAGCATCCATAGCTGAAATTACGTTTGATAATGAATTATGCACATCATTTCTAAACTATGCATCATCACATCATCTCACACTCTTTCAACTTGGATTATCCATATTTTATGTTTTCCTACTCAAGTTAACTCATGGTGAGAGTGATTTATGTATTAGTTCTATCAATGCTAATCGATATCGAAATGAATTATTTAATATGATCGGAATGTTTGTTTCAACATTACCATATCGTGTTGAAATTGATTCTCATTGGTCATTTCATGAATTTGTGAAATATGTACGAGTGAAATGTTTATCAATTCTTGAACACTCTTATTATCCATTACAGCATATTCTCAGTGATTTAAATCTCACTCAGTCAAATGTTTCATTTCTCGAAACCATGTTTGATTTTATCACTGTATCAGAAGATGTTAGTGGATTACGTTTGAATGGTGTTAATCTAGAACAAGTATCGTTAAATGAATCATATGAAATCGCTAAATTTGACTTCTCATTAAAATTTGTATACAATCCATTATCAGATAATAAGAGATTATCATGCAGTTTTGTTTGTTCTCATGATTTGTTTGAAAAATCAAGTATTTCAAGAATAGCTCAAAGATTTCAATATATGTTTGAGCAAGTTTTTCAAACACAATCGAGCAATATTCCTGCGATCACTTTGAAATCATCAATTAGCAAAATGTGTGTTATTCTTCCCGAAGAAGCTGAAGAGATGGAATCAGTTCTGTTTCATCGACTGGATGATATTGTGAATGAAGGTATGATTGTCTGCAACATGCTTTATCGTTTTATAAAAGTAATAGTTAGTTAAATTAGTAATGAGAAATATGCATTCAAGTGTATTGCAATGTACAGACATAGTATTTTTAGTTTTTAAATAAATCCTTTTCGTTCATAGATTTCATGCCAAAAAACAAATTCTGTTTAGCTAGAGAAGCCATTAGATGAAAAGTGGCTAAAATATTATTATAAAATACCATTTGGCAATCCAATTTTTAGATTATAACTCACCAAGCTCTCATTATTCTAGCACCAGCATCATTTGCACAAGCTCGTATATGGCTTGATGAAAGAATTCGATTCGACCCAGACAACCCACAAACAGCAATCTATAATATGCCTTTTGTTTACCGTCTTCAATCAGATCATACTTTATCCATTAAACAACTCTGTCATGCTCTTCATCTCACTGTTAACAAACATCCCTCACTTCATACATCACTTCATTTTGATATCGAAAAGAATCTACTAATGCAACGAGTTATTACTCATGATGATATAAAGAATAATAATATGTTTTCAATCATCGAAACTACTTATGAAACAGATGGACAATTAAATGAAATTTTACACGATGAGAAACGTAATCCTCATCTTTTCGATCTTGCTCAAGGTCTTGTCTTTCGATGTCATATTATTTATTACAAACAAATCTCTTCAGATCATCTTCTTTCTCACAAAGATCTACTTATCTTCAACTTTCATCATGCTTTGTTTGATTTTCCTTCAATGAATATCTTTCTTCATGATCTCAATCAAGCATATACAACAGGTCAATTATTATATGATGACAACACCAATCTTCGTTATCTAGATTGTAAATATAGATACTACTTTTACTTTTCTCTTTTCTAATACATTATCTTCTTTGATTATATAGATGCAGTTATTGAACAACAAATGTCAATGACTGGTGCAAGCATGTTTTGGCATGATGTTCTTCATGATTGTAAACTCGATCAACCTTTACCATTACCATTTGATCGGTATCGTCTTGCAAATGAACATCGAACTGGTCGTGGAACATCTATTTCATTTGATTTTGGTCAAGATCTCTCACATGACTTCCTTACTCACGTATCATCAAATAGCATATCACTGGAACAACTCGCACTTGCTACTTATTATGTGTTTTTATTCAAACTAACGAATGGAGAAAAAGATGTATGCATTGGAATAAATACACATGGTCGATATAGAGATGAACTTGAATCTATTGTTGGAATGTTTGTGAATGCCATACCTTTACGATGTCGACTCGATCCTCATTTATCATTTCATAAACTTGCTAAACACGTTCAAAATAATATGTTAAATAGTATGAAGTATTCATATTTTCCTCTTCAACGTATTCTCAATCAACATGCAAATATATCAAATCCTGTATTTCTTGATACATCATTTGACTTTATATCATCTATGACAAAAGATGAGAAAAAAGAAATAATGCTTGGTGATAGTCGATTTTCTTTAATACCTTATTCGATTAAGATTAGTGAAGATGAAATAATGAGTAAATTTGATTTTATTCTTAGTTTTCAACACGATCTGAAACTAAATGAATTCTCATGTACAATCAATGCATCTCTTGATTTATTCAATGTTGAAACAGTTTGTTTAATTACGCAAAGATTTCAGACAATGTTACATCAACAGTTCACATCTTTCAACAGTACAACAAACAAACCTATTCATGAATTATCATTGGTATTATCAAACGAACGATATCTAATGCAATCATTGAATAATACATATATATCATTTTCATCTTCTCGTCTCACTTGTATTCATCATGAGTTTGTATATCAAGCAATGAAACATCCGCAAAAACTAGCAGTTGAACTTGATGAACAGTCATTGACATATTGTGAACTCTTACA